GCTGGTCATATCTCGAAAAATTCGTAAGTAGGGGCGTTTGTAAGTAGAGGTACCACTGTATGTAGCTCAAGGACTCCATATATATTTCTGCACTTTTTTGCCTCACTCTGCTTTGTTGGTTGCCATTACAACTTGCACAAAATGCAGCCAACGAGCAAGCAAGTAAACCACTTTCAAAACTAAATTCAGCTTTTGTTTGGCTCTCCACAGAATAAATAAGAGCCATTGATTCAGGAGGCTCCGCAATGTAATTTCAGATGTACTTAAATGGAGGTAAGTAAATGGAGACAACAAAAAACAGAAGTGATAACATATATCTTACCATGAAAAACACTATTGTCCACTAAAAAATGTCTGCAGTACTGAAGACAACTTCTTTTGTCCAAGTGCCAGTAACTCATCATCAAAAACTTTCTTCTCAATATCAAAGGCAATTATTCTGCAAAGGAAGGAAAAAGTGTTGGCAATGTGAAGACAATCATTAAGAACAACCATCTAGTGCCATTAATTCAAATAAAGAAATTGCATTTGGGGTCCAACGTCAGTACAAAATAAAAGTATAATTTCATTTTAAATGTTTCCACAATTACTGTTTCAGACTCAGCCATTTTAGTGTCAGTAATTACTAAGGCAATTTACACATTATTACATTTTCCCAAGGAAAACAGGGAGAGAAAAGCTTCTGAATGAATAATATGTAAGACACTGATTTCTAATAATGTAGATGAATAACTTCATTTTATATAGAATCATTATGTTGGAAAGTAACTTGGAGGTCGCCTAACCTAACCTACTGCTAAATATAGGATCTGCAATGCACTGTAAAATGCAACAATAGCATTGCTGATGGATCACTTTTTAAATTAAGTTCATGCTTAAATACTTAAGAAAAGAAGAGCCTAGCATCTGCTAAAGCAACATGTACCATTAGTAGAGCTTTTACCATTAAAATATTTATCTTAATGCTTATCAGAAATCTGCTTCCTCACAATAATTCCAGTCTTGCCATTTTAAGGCAAAGTGCACACAAAGATGTTGTTCATGCCTCAATTTCCACTGGAAAGGAGTTCCAGAGAAGCGTAGGGATGGAGTTCGCACATTGCCTAGAGGCACATGGCCTCAAGCCCCTTTTGTGGCCCTCAGAGTCACCTCCAGTCATGTCTGCAAAAAACTGGCAGGCAATATCCTGCCATTTGCATTTTAAGGTGCAAAATACATGAAAATGTAGGATGGACATAAAAAAACATTTGGGCTACTTAGAGTCCCAAGAATGAGACTCATAGCTGAGGGGGGTTTTTGGGGGGGGGGGATCAGCTTAGAAAAAATATTTTGTTTCAAATCCATACTTTAAATATAAGGCTATTAATATGTGCACATGACCTAAAAGCATGACTTGACTGTTTATGATAAAAGAGACAAAGAAGGAAACACAAATAATAATAGGTTTTGAATATGGGACAGATCATTTTTGGTAATGCCAAGTGTGGATCTTGAGGAAAAATGAACACGGAAGAAAAGGAGACAAATGAAAGAAATTAGAGTGAAAACAGAATGATGCAGGAAGAGAAAGTACAATTCCTATATGGAAAAAGTATTAGAAAATAGATTCCTGTTGCAAAAGAATTAATAGAAAATAGACCTAATAAAAGAAGATGTAGAAGATGCTTGGAACAGTGTAAAAAAAATTGTTACAGACTACCACAAATGTGGAATAACATTAAAGGTATGAATATGAGGAAAAATGCTGGATCACTGACTGAATACACAAATTATTTGCAAATACCAAAAGACGCATTGTATAGTTCTGAAAGTTAATGTGTCAATGATCAAGGAGTTGCATTTCACAGGTAAAGTGTAGCAAATTATTGGGAGAGAAAGAAAGATACACATATACACACACACACACGAAAGAGTTTGGACATCTTCATAAAATGCTTACTAAAGATGGAATACCAAATGGAGAAATTTTAAGACTTGCAACAGCTCACAGAAAGATAGTGCTGGTTATGTGGTCTCTTATAAGGAATGAATGTTTGTTGAAATAAAACTGTGCATATACAGATATATATGATACATCTTTGATATATGGAAGTGAGGGTCAGGTATATCAAGAAAAACATATAGGTAAGTCAAATACAGTAGAAATGGAGTATTTAAGAAGTGTGGTGGTGAAACAAGAAGATAAGGATGAGTGGATGCTGAATGTATGGGTATGAAGAACAAAAGTCAGTGAGTGGTATAAAAGAAGCAAGCTGAGAGGATGAATGGGGATCAGATCACAAAACAAAGATATGAAGAAAGAGTGAATGGGCCAAAAAGAAAGACTAAGAAAGTCATGGTTGGATGGAGTTGAGAGATCATGAAAATGAGAGAAGTAATGTTTAAAGAACAAAAGGCAATGTACAAATTGGTATATGAATGTGGTCGATGTAAGGATGGGTTGCAAGAATAGAAAGGTATGGAGAACCATAGTGAATGGTGTTGTGAAACAGCTTTAATTTTGTTCTCTATTTTAGTTAACTCATGATTTTAATTTCTTTGACTTACTTTTTCTTAGTCCTCCTCTGAGCTTTGCATAACATTTACCCTGAAAGAGAATAACATCAATATAAGCAATCTTTTTCTTATAGTAATTCTGGTTTATGTAAGATTGTGCTAGATTTGCACCCTTCTACAGCAGAAACAATTTCTACCTCTACCCATTTTTGTCTCATTAATTTTCAAAGACCACAAACAACACTTTCAAACCATTATGCTTAGGAAAATGGTATGTAATGGCCAAATTCAGGAGGGATGGGGGTAGCCCAATAGCCAAATTAATTGCTTCAAGGACAAGCTGTTCCAGACATGCTTTGCAACAGAAAATAAACTCAAAGGATGCTGAAGCACAGGACAGAACAATTCCATCAAGAATTTAAAAAGAAAAACCTAAAGCCTAAAATCTGCCTCATCTTTTTAAAGGTTAAAGACTTTAGTTGCATTAAGATGTGAGGTTTGCCAGAGGAACTCTTCCTGCACTTGCTGACTTTTATTTCAATTTCACCAGTTAATTAATTATATTGGCTGGCCAGCAGGGAATCCTATTGTTCAGCACAGATAGCTATTAACTGCTCTTTCAAGCACTGTCAAAGCCCAAATCATACAGTCCAATTGCAGCAATAGACTGAAAAAAGCAAAGTATTCATATTCATTCACTACAGAGTGATTTCTTTACAGTAGCCCTTTGCAATATGTTCCATGTTCTAACATCCAATCAATAAATAATGATGAAAAAATCTAAGATATTAATATTTGTGACATATTGGAAAACATATTTTTTCTCCAAAGCTATGTAGCTTTTACACAGCAATGCTCATTTGTTTCAACAAACACTTGTTCCTTGTAAAAGACCACGTGACTGTCCTTTACTTTTCTAGCAGCATTTGGTTGCCTTAAAATTTATCTATCCATTTCTCCACCATTTAGTAAATGTTCTCCCAAAATACACATATTCATCAATTTGCACTAGTTTTTCACAATTTATGTGTAACTTGTTTGAAATTGCTCATTTTCCTTGTCAAACACAACTACATTAATTTTTAGATCCATGTTCAATCTATTGAGTATTTTCTGAAAATCTCTTGGCTTCTCAGCCAAAAAACACACAGCATTATCCAAATTCAGAAGTGCATGTACATTCATGTCATCAACCATATCCTCTGATGCCACCACAACCATTTATTTTACTCTTATCCATAAATATATTAAATAACAAAGGGAATATCACATATCCTTGTCTTACTCCTTGGTCAATGTTGAATTACATGCTAAATATTCCATTTATTCCCACTCATGTTTTACTTTGTATACCACCCTTACCATTCAGTAACCAATGTTCAACTCTATTTGTGTAAACCTTTCCATAATAAACTTTCTCACCTTCATACATTTCTCAGTAACCTGCAGAAGAGCAAAAATCTGGTCTTCGCAACTCCTCCCTGGCATAAAGATGCACTGGACTTCCCAGATTTTACTCATAAACTTTACCCATAAACTTTTGATCAGAATTTTGCCAACGAAATCCTTTGTGCTTTTTACATTCACTGTTGTTACCATTCACTTTGTATGGGGGAACAGTTGTTATATCCAAGTCTATGGTTTATTTCCAACCAGAATAATTGTTCATCCTTCTAGCTCCAGTGAGAAAGGGAAAATCCACCCAGATCAAGCATGCACACCCACATATAACTTTCTCATCCACTTGTTCCATGATTTTGCTTCCCTCCCATGATAATGGGGAGAGATAGTTCTATATTTTACAGAGATAAGGGGACCAATAGCAGTGAATAGACTCCCCAGAGATAAGGGGGACACGTGATGTTCAGGTTATGATATCTTTCCCTAGTGAATTTAATAGCTGGTCCTGGAACATGATCCAATTATTCTTTCAGCAGCTGATACGACACTAGGTGAATATTCATTGCCTGGACAGCTGGCCTCCTGGCCATCCATTCCATCAATTCTACATGACAGTTTGACTCCTAGCAGCATCTCTGAGACACAGAATGGAAATTTCCTTCACCCTTTTAAACTCACTGCCCACCGTCTTCACATTTAATGTTCCAAAGAGCATTAATTCAAAGTAATGAATTTTGCATGGTATACATTAACCGAAAATATGCAAACCCCATGCTTAAAAAATCTATTTACCTTTTTTTAAAAAAGTTTTAGCAGTGAGATAAAACAGATCAGACTACACTCATTTTAATGTTCTGACAAATTTTTTAAAAAATGCTATTTTATTCATATTGTATTAAATCTGCCCCCCCCCCGAGATTTATACTGCTCCCACCATTTTGATTTTATGCAAATTGTTAAAGATCTGGTTGTCCTCCCAGGCTTTGGGTTAGGATGGTGGTTGAGTCCCTTTGGTTTCTGATTCTGCCTTCCAGTCTGCTGTATTCTTTTTCTTTGATATATGTTGTTTTCTTTTTAATTGTTAAATTGTAAGCCATACAGAGTCACTGTGGAGTCAGGCAGCCTCAGAGTTTAAATAAATAAGTAAATAGTCTGCATTCATGTAAACTTTTTTTCTGGTACTCTTAATCTCGCATGAACCTTATCAAGTTCTTTCAGAACCCACGATTTACAAAACGTTAAGTTATGTGGACTTCAACTCCCAGAATTCCCCCAGCCAGCACACTTAAAGTTGCTGAAGTTGAGAAACTTTGCTTTAGATAATCCATTAATATTTAAACTCCATATTTATGTCTTGATGACTAATACCTTGCAAAAGGCCATTAAGTGGTGACTCAAAAACTACTTTAAAAATTATTATTGCATCAATAATGCAGGTAACTGGACATAAGAGATTTTCAGACTCCATATTCCTCATTATTTCCAAAAAGTATAAAGAATGCCAATCTAGGCCTAAAATGGTTTAACTGCCACATTAAGTATAGCAAAACCGTGCAGACCCACCACAGAATGCCTCCAGAAAAATGATAACCTGACCCTGTCAAAACTACAGGAGGTCTATCTTCACATCCCAATTCACCCATCTCACAAGATATTCCTAAGATTCCAGGGTACGCTACCAGTTCAAGCCCATCCACTCTGCCTTCATCAGCTCCCAGAATATTCATGAAAGTTATGATTATCATAACCCATTTCAGATCCTAGGGAATACACATTTCCCTGCTGGACAACCTGCTCCTCAAATCTCCATCAAAGAAAGATGGCTGTCTCAACCATGATAGGACCTAGGATTCTTGAACAACAAAGGGAAAACCATCCTTCAACATCTCAGCATAATTCTATGAAGAGAAAAAGATCTGATCTCCAATGTGAAGGAGAGAAAGGAGACCATCTAGCAACTAATCATATAAGTTGTTCAGACTACTTGTCTGGATCTCATGATTCTCATCAGTCTCCAGGCCAGATGATCCCTTGGCTCTCCTGTAGGAAAATGGTATTTTGGACATATGAATATTTACTTTATATAGCAGAGACAGGGCATCTAGCCCACCCAGGCAATATTGGAAAAGGAGGAAAAAAAACATATTGGAGCCCCATCCGTATCAGAGCCAGCTGTACACCGTTCCCATAGTTCTCCTTATTCCTACATCTTTCAAACAATATTTCTTTGAGCTACCTTTCTTCAGCTTTTCATTCCAAAACCGAGGAAAGAGTTATCCCTTCAGAATGGAAGCAACGACAGAACATTTCTTTTTTATATATAATTTTTGAGAATTTTTACTTGAAAAGAAGAAAAATAAGAAATATGTAAAAGAAGGAAAGGAGAAAAAGAAAAACAAAACAAAAAAATGCAGGAAACAATACAGTTAAAAGAAGGAAAAAAGATAATTAAAGAAGTGAATAAAGAAGAAGGAAAAAAGATAAATAAGAGAAGCACTTTTCTTTACATGTCCATAACGCTTTAGTCCCTTTCATCAATGCGTCTTTCTGTGATCACATAGTCTTCTCAGAGCTTCATGCTTCCTTTCTTTTTCTACTTATCTCTTTGTTTAAAGCAGTCAGCCAATCAGCCTCCTTAACATTTGATTCCTTTTAAATCTTTGTAACTGGTTCCTTCCTTTTTACTTTAATCTTTCCTTGACCAAAGGTACACTCACCCAGGTGACTTTAGGTGCTCTGCTGCTCTGAAGGTCTCTTTACTCTTCAAATTTGCTTCATCTAAACATGCTTTAGAAAGTGGATTGGGCAGACCCAGTGTCCTTTAAACAGGCTTCGCATGAGGCTGTGATCATATCTTTGCCGGCGCTCTACTCACAGGTCACGAGGAGCTCCCGCTCGCCATGTGGGCGATCTCATGGCTCCTCCTTGTCAGAGAAACTCCATAGCCCGGGCCTATCGCCTGGCTGTTGGTCTTTGCCTCTTCATCATCTCCACTGTTTCACAGAAACACGCTAGTCTGCCATGTTTCCACCTGGAAGTTGCAATGACAGAACATTTCCAAGCCCTGCTTCCAAAGCAAGTGCAATGGAGATACAAGTATAGGATGACCTGTCTCCTCTGTAGATAATGGTCTTTTCTGGTAAGTCCTTCTTAGCTTGCCTGGGACACTTATCCTTTGCCAACTTCCTAAGCAGCTACTTACCTCCACTGTCTACTACCAGTCATTCCCATTCCTTCACTGAGAGATACCCGTGACAACTCAGTGAAGAAAGCATACATAGCACCACACACGCATCTCCACAGCTCTGCCTTCGGATCAGAACAGCCAGTTGTCACAGTTCAGTTTGTCTCTTTTACCTAGGAAGCCATTATCCTTAGCGACAGAAGGGAGCATCAAACCAGACTTTAGTTGAACTGGACACTGATATGAATTCTATACACAATATTAAATGTTTACTGCCAGGACATGTTTCATCTTGAGATGGCCTGGGAGAAACTGTTCCTCCCCAGAAGCTCTCAGATCTATATTTAGACCATGTTAGTCAATTGCAAAGTGATTAAACATTATCTATATAGACTGCATGTATTATTCAGCTTTTTTCTATCCACAAGATTACCTGCCAAGAGTACTTGTTTACATACTAAGTCACTGCTGAAAATAGCGCTTTGTTTACATCCCAAAAATTAATT